ATGTCGAGTTTGGACTCATTTTAAAGGATTTTTTATGAAGTTGACAAATATGTCAAAATTTAAAGTTGAAAGTTAGAATTTTTTGTTTTTTTGAGATAAATGCATTAAGTTTGGACTCATTTTAAAGGTTTTTTAATGAAGATGACAAATATGTCAAAATTGACGTTGACGTTTCAAACCGGAAGTGATTGTATTTCCATTAATATTAAAGTTAAATATGTCGAGTTTGGACTCATTTTGAAGGATTTTTTATGAAGTTGACAAATATGTCAAAATTAAAAGTTTGAATAAGTTACACCTTTACCTACCAGACAGCATGAAAATCTCTAAAAACGATAAAACGTCGCTTAGTCAAGTGATGTATAACGCGGTCCAATTGTGTAAAACTTTTTTAATCTGAGTACTCCAAAATTTTCGACTATGAACTGGAGTTTTGGACTTATCGCTGACCATCCAATTCCCAATGTACGATCTTCACCCCATTATAACCTCTCATCGATGTCTTCACCCATTTCTTATTTCACCAACTTTTAACATGGAGGCAGAATTTGGCAGAAATTTCAGCAATTTACACTTAACGAACTTATCATCGTCGTCTTATTCTTAATAGCAACAACAAGACAACCAGGAAGAGAAGAAATAACCAATATATAGACTTTGATGATGTAGCAACTGGAGAGACTGATTTTAAATGTGAAGGGGGCCTATTTGTGAATGAATAGCAAGAATGATAACTCATCAGTTGTATTTCTCAGCATCGTAATCCAATTTAGTTGTTGCTCATAATATCAAAATACAGTTCTAAAACTAACTAGTTGTTCCGTTGAAAGATGTTATAGCACATTGAGGAGAGTGCAGAAAAGTGTCAGGTCTATAGCGACTAACTTCACACGTATAACATTTTGACAAATGACATTTCTTAATCAGAATGGTAATAATAAAATAGTATAAGTGAGATAAAAGATAATCATTTGATGATTATTTTGAATTAAAATAACATAAACAAATTTTTTTGGATGATGAAATGTTTTGATGGTTTTACGTTTTCTATTTTGAAGTTTCTTTGAAATTCTTAAAAATATTTCTTTAACAAACAGTCAATTACATTCTATTTAAATCACTCTGAAAATTTTATTTTGAGTACAAAAATAAATTAGGAGTTGTTTACAACTGACCTAAAAAATAATAAACGAGTAGAAACACGCGATAACAACATAGTAGTTATATTAAAATCGATTTCGTTTATTCAATGTACTACATAATAGATCATTTCGCAATGATACGTAAACAACGTTGTAAAAAAAAAATTAGAAAACAATTTTTGCTAAAAAAAAAAAACTTACCAACACTTTTATGAAACGTAAGCGTAACAAAAAATGGTGGCCAGCGATCTTTGGACCTTGAAAAAACCAAAAGTAAAACGGTTTATCGGTTCCACGATAATAAATAAACGTTTACAAGTCCCAAGAGTTCGACCGCGAACATGACTCAATAAATTTCCAAGCGAAATATTATTTAGAAAAGAAATCCAAAAATTAATATGTAAAAAAAAATGAAAACAACAAACAAATCCAGAAAATACACGTGCTATTTAAATCGCCTTTCTAAAAATCGTTTTTTCTTTCTCTAACATAATTTATTTATCCTCCTCTCGTTGAAAAATAACGCGTGCACACACACACATAAACACAAATATAAATTCCGAAAAGGTCACATGAATATATTCAATAAGAATCGCGAAATAAAAAAATGAATCACTCCAAAAAATAAAAAAAAGCGAAACGAAACAAAACAATCAAATTTTTCACTTGTTTTTATTTCGTACTGATTTAGTTTTAGATCACATCACCAGGAAAATATTAATATGTCATAGTCACTGCACGCTATATTAATATTAATAATATTATTGGTTGGCAAATATCTGATGAACGTCGTTGACCAGAGCACACTACTTGATGATGACAAAGTGAAACTGTCGGGGGGCCCCGTATTCGCTCGACGAGAATTTTTACCGAACGTTTACGCGATTTCGAGCTCGGAGGACTATAAATTGACGTCAGGGTACGAAACGTCAGCTTGGCCTTCACACTCGCAAACAAATACACGTGATCCCGGGGCAAATAGGAAAACAAAACAATGCAAACAGTGGAACTGGAACGACACCTAACGACAAAAATGCCAAAAATTAAGTGTCAACAAATCTAGGCAACCCAAAATAAACGTTCGTGTAAGTTGGGTTGCAGAAGATATTGATTAATTTTTTTTTTGGTTCTATTGATTTTATTTATAACAAAGAATCTGTGGATTCGCCAACTTTAATTAGTTACGTTTTGTTATGATTTTCGTTTAGATTAAAGAAAAATTAGGGATATGTGCAAAAAAAATTTGACCTTGTCATTTACATTTTTGACAGGTACTGATTTTAGCGACTTTTCAGACGAATTTAGATTCCAAAAACACGCAAGATCGATAAATTGTATCGATTTAACCCATAGGGCGCAATTTCATCCGTTTCTGTATCATTTTATATGTTTTAAATTCCAATTTTTCATTTTCAAACGTCAACATCAAATTACGACTTTTTTAAAGGAAATTGACACCCGAAAGCGCGTTTATCTTAAAAAACGAAAAATTAGCTACTAAATTACGAAATCTTAATCAAATTTAAAGTTTATTAATAATTTCGAGTATTTTCAAAATTGACAGTTATTTTCTTTAAAAAAATTAATTATTTTGGCTAACCTGTGTAATTTATAATTCCCGCCACTTAATCAACCAATCAGAGAGCTCAGAGTCAAACTGAGACGATCAAATTCGGATATCCAAGAAGCCTGTGTCCAAAAAGGGTATATAAGGCCGCGCAAATTGACATCGGAGGGAGTTCAAATTTGGCTAGAGGCAAGTGTTGTCGAATTTACGTCAAATTAACCTTAAATTTTCTAACCTAAATCTGAACTTAGAAGTAAACAAGAAGAATTATCTTTGAAGAAATCGAAACCATACCTGAGTTCGAGTCCAATCTTCCATCCTGTTCCCGAAGGACCCAAGAACTAAATTTCCCGAGAATCCTAAACTTCTAACACCGAAGAATACCCATCCCTCAAGATCAAGGTTAACCAGCCATTTTTAACTGACATGTCACATCTCCGGAAAGAAACAAGATAAGTGAACATATTTCCTTTTATCGAACTCTTTAATTTTTATAACCATCGCGATTAAAAATCAATCTTAAAAGACACTCATAAAATTAACGCGTCTACGACAACACTCTTCTAAAAGAGTTCCCTCTTTCTTGCACAGACGTATTTATTTAGGCTCGTTTTTATGTTTAGTTCGTAAATTTAAAAATTTAGTTAATAGATGTCTCCATGACCCTGCAATTTATTTTTTTTCTCTGAGATTCATGTTCTTTAATTTAAAAATGTAATACCTAGTAGAAGTATTTTTTTTACCCTAGTAACATTTTATGGAACCAGTTCAAGTTGGTCACATTGGGTCATTAATTTTTCTAGTTGTCAATGTGACAAGTTTGTCTATGGATGTTTAAATACCTTCTTAGCATCGAATACAAGGTCCACAATGATGAGGACATTGAACTCTGAGCAATTTCTCTTATTTTGGGAGGTGTACATGAAACATTTTTGTCAGGTGAATACATTTTGTGTTTTGACAACTTCTAATTGTCAATTAAAATTTCTATTTTCATTGTGTTACCAACTGCTACATACCTATTTCCCTACATTGTCAAAATTTATTTTATTTTTGAGAAGAAAAAAAGGATAAAAACGCGAATTCCAAAAAATAGTATAAAAAACACGTTTCACTCATTCAAACGTGTCTTACGAAACTTGTTTTTTAATATACTATTGTGATATAAAATTGATTTGCATAAATAATTATTAATCGAACAAAACAAAATAATACAATAGATTCGTGAAAACAGTTATAATAACAGCCCAGAACAAAATCCCTAGAAGATACAGGAAGGAATACTTGTATTTCCGGATGGAATATTGAATGTGTACAGCTATATCAAGCCTGCATAGACTCTGGGGCTCAACAATACCCGATGAGTTACTTCAAAATGTTGAAATCAAATCGAATCACTGGATTTTTAAAAATTCAAGCAGAGAAGTTTGGTGTCTTCTGATTAATTTGGTGAATAATGTCACTATCCAGAGTTTATCGGGGCCCATAACATACGAAGAAAGTTAAAACATATAATAAATGAGCTAACAGATGCCCTGAAAGATGTTAAATCAGGTAAAGCCCCAGGTTTTGATTAGATACATCCTGAATTTTTTGTGATGTGTAAGATCTTAGTTTTATTTCTGCTTATTATAATTCATTTGATGAAAAATAAAGCTTAAATACTGCAAATGGAAAACTACACCCTCCTTAAAGAAGATTTATCACGAAACACAGTTTTCAGAAAGCTATTTAATACTGATAGAAGACTAGATGCTGTTACTGGAATATTAGAAATTGTTTACCAAAGACTAAAGATTATATAAGATAAAGTTTGCAGAAGACTTGGAGTTAGTGACGACACGTTGTAAGAATGAAGAGACCCCAAGAAAGATATTAAAACAAATACCAACCGGAAAAAGACCCAACGGTCCAGGCTGAGATATCTGGTGACATCTGGTCCAGGTGGAGGAAGATATCAGTACCTTAGGCATAACTAATTATCGTAACAGAATGCGTAATAGGTCGGAATGGAAGAGGATCTTGGAGGCTTACGCAGGGTTGTCATGCCAATGATGATGATAACAGCTTGAAGAAGACTTTTCAAGGCTGGTAGAAAACTAAATACTGTAAATAAAAGACTAGAAAATTTTGCCAAAGATAAGAGATTGCTGCCAAAAGTTTAGATATTGCAAATAAAAGATTTATCAAAGATGGAGCTTGTTTTCAGAGGGCTATTTACTGCTTGTAGAAGACTAAATACTGTTAATGGCAAACTAGAAATTGTTTGTCAAAAACTACAGAAGACTACATTCTCCTTATCGATGATTCACCACTAAATAAAGCTTTCAGAGGGCTATTTACTGCTGGTAGAAGTCTACATACTGTTAATGGCAGACTAGAAATTGTCTGTCAAAAACTACAGAAGACTACAATCTCCTTATCGATGATTCACCACTAAATAAAGCTTTCAGAGGGCTATTTACTGCTGGTAGAAGTCTACATACTGTTAATAGTAGACTAGAAATTGTTTGTCAAAAACTACAGAAGACTACATTCTTCTTATCGATGATTCATCACAAAATAAAGCTGTCATAGGGCTATTTACTGCTGGTAGAAATCTAGATACTGTTAATAGAAGAATAGAAATTGTTTTTCAAAAACTACAGAAGACTACATTCTCCTTATCGATGATTCACCACTAAATAAAGCTTTCAGAGGGCTATTTACTGCTGGTAGAAATCTAGATACTGTTAATAGAAGACTAGAAATTGTTTGTCAAAAACTACAGAAGACTACATTCTCCTTATCGATGATTCACCACTAAATAAAGCTTTCAGAGGGCTATTTACTGCTGGTAGAAATCTAGATACTGTTAATAGAAGACTAGAAATTGTTTGTCAAAAACTACAGAAGACTACATTCTCCTTATCGATGATTCACCACTAAATAAAGCTTTCAGAGGGCTATTTACTGCTGGTAGAAATCTAGATACTGTTAATAGAAGACTAGAAATTGTTTGTCAAAAACTACAGAAGACTACATTCTCCTTATCGATGATTCACCACTAAATAAAGCTTTCAGAGGGCTATTTACTGCTGGTAGAAATCTAGATACTGTTAATAGAAGACTAGAAATTGTTTGTCAAAAACTACAGAAGACTACATTCTCCTTATCGATGATTCACCACTAAATAAAGCTTTCAGAGGGCTATTTACTGCTGGTAGAAATCTAGATACTGTTAATGGCAGACTAGAAATTGTTTGTCAAAAACTACAGAAGAGTACATTCTCCTTATCGATGATTCACCACTAAATAAAGCTTTCAGAGGGCTATTTACTGCTGGTAGAAATCTAGATACTGTTAATAGAAGAGTAGAAATTGTTTGTCAACGATTAGAGATTGCTGCCAATAGTTTAGATATTGCAAACGGAAGACTGCACTGATTTACACATCAAAGCAGGCTTTCAAAAATGTCTCAAAACACCCATAGTCTTTGTGATCTTGATAGCTGCGTATGATACAGCTGCACATATCAAGCACAGTGGTTTAAATGTGACACAACACTTAATGTTTTGCCCATCATTTTAGGTATAAGGACGAGACGTTAAGTTTTGGGCACCCAGCTACTTCTTATCGTAGCTCCTACCTTAAGGAGGCTTCTCTACTTTTAAACTACTTTAGATTTCACTGCGGATATCACCTCATCTTCTGTAAATTAGGTAATACCATATTAGGGAAATATCTCATTTTCGTCCCTTGCTTTAAAATAGATAGCAGATTTAAGTAGCTTCTTGGTGTTTTTAAGTTCATCCAACTTTTTTATTAGCTCATTAATATAAATTTTATCTCTATTTTGTTGTCACAATCATTATTTGGTTCTTTACATTTTATTTATATAATCATCTTTAATAATAAACAAAGTATAACTGCTATTTGAATAAACAGTTATCGCTTTTGAAACTATGTAAACATGACCTAAAAATACCGAGTCTTCTCCACACTCTTCTTAGTATCTCTTCACCTTTAACAGTGTCGAGTTCAATATCCTTCGCGATGGTTAATCAGTTAAAAGTGTTAATACTTTTCGTGTTAACTCTGGATTATTCAACATCAAAAACTTTATTTAAAGAAGAATTAGAATTATCATCGTTATCGAAAGATGACGTTGCTAAAATTCTTATTAACTCGAAAGAATTTGGTCGAAAATCTGTTGATTTATCCAACATGGGAATAAAAGGATTAAAACCGGGGTGTTTCGATGATTTAAAAAAAGTGGAATTGATTGATTTATCAAATAATGAAATTGAAGAGATTTCTAATGGTGTTTTTAACCAAGTTAAAGTGAGAGTTGTTCGTTTAAATGATAATAAAATAAGGAATATTACTGACACGGCGTTTAA